GGGAGAGAGAGAGAGAGAGAGAGAGAGAGAGAGAGAGAGAGAGAGAGAGAGAGAGAGAGAGAGAGAGAGAGAGAGAGAGTTGGGATGTTCGGGGAAGGGAGATAAGACTGGTGGTGGGGAACACAGGTCGCTTGCTCCGGCGCTGTACTGTGGCCTCCAGGCAACTGACTACCGCCTGCCCCTAAATACATGGCCCCAAACACAGCAATAATAATCGGGCGTTCTATTCGGCTGAAGGCGGAAGGCACAAGGCAGTGACTGATATCTTCTTGAAGTTGATTGGTACATACGACACCTCTGTCTGTAGACTCTGTACTGTCTGGGTCAGCTTTTCTTTTCCCTTTTCTCTGGGTCACGTTTTCTTCCCCTCACATGAAGCCACTCATCGACTGCTAATGCTACATAAGTACATATGCTATTAGTAAGTATTAAGACATGGTACATATGCTATGGGTTAGTACTACGTACTATTGCGAGGCTCAAGGCCTCGATGATCCCTACTGAACCCTGTTTCAGCAATATCGGCCGCCCTAAGTGAAGGCAGGCCTGACCAAGGATGAGAGGCCTATTTCAGGCTTTCCACGCAACTGGGAAACTCAGGAAGTTGCACAGCGCCAGTTGGTTGAGAGAACCCAGACCCTACCTGCCTTTCTCAGATGTATTTGAGGCAGGCCCTGGGGTAGAGACGGGGCATGGACTGCGCACAGGCCGCCGGCAGTTGGACATGGGTAACCACTCCAGGCCCTGTGTCTGATTCCCTTCGACCGGGGCTCAGCCACTTGGGGCCTACCGGAAGCTTCTTGGCAGGGGCCCAGCACAGCCAGGCAGCACACAGCAGGCAGGCCATTTCCATATAGGAAAGTGCCTGCCCCCGCATTGGCATTCGGGCACTTGCTACATGCCGCGCAAGCGCTGCTGCGCTACTGGCAGGCAAGCGCCCACGCGCTCATGGGCGAGCAGGATACACGCAGGCAGCCATAGCCGAGCTGGCCTGCGAGGTGCTGGATGGGGCGCATGGTGGTCCTTGGGTGCACGTGGCATCTGTGTGGGGGATCGAGGTTGTGAGTGATGCGTGAGACATACGTGGTGCTTGAGGCGAACGGCATTGGCCGAGATCTGCTCGTACTTCGAGGAGCTGTTGACATCTCCAGCGGCATTGTAGATAGGCTAGATAGGATCTGCCATTCGTAGTCTGGGCGCTGAGCGCCAGATAGGAAGTCGTGATTGGTTCATTGTTGATGATGATGAGACTGTTTCAACATTATCACTTGTGAGCTTTTGTTGTGCTCTTATGGTGGAACTCGTGTTGCAATTCTGCTTTTGGTTCAAGGTCACGACTATCTTGTTTCACGTGTATGATGCTGCTTGGTTTCTGGAATTCAATATCGCTAATTTTCCTTGCATTTTGGTATCGGAGTTGTGGTACGTTGCGCTAATCTGACGCTTGTCTTCTGCCTATGCGGTACATGCATGCGGTCTGCTGGGTGAGTGGCCGTAGGAAGTGTGTAGTGAGGAGTGCGAAGGCAAGCAGGCGACCCATGCGAAGAGGGGTATCGCCAGGAAGGCTACGAGGTGATATTGGGTGTTCGCAGTGTGATGAGAACTATCTGATGTGTGATTGATGCTGAGGTGGAACGGCGGTATAATGCTGGTTGTGCCGAAGCAATGATTGGTCATCACAATCGGCGTCAGGTCATCTGGTGAGAATATTTGTGGTTTGGGGCAGCTATTTTGAGCTATGTTGCTCTTAACCTTATCTACCCTCTTCGACACTTCTTACCGTGAGGATGTGTGTTCTGTCTTGAGAGTCCTCTCATGTGAGGAGTCGAGTGCGCTCAACCTTGAGAGTCGGCATTATTCACGTGGAGCATCTGGAAGGAGAGGGCAGAGCTATCTGAAGGGCCCTGGACGAAGCACTTGGTCACGGTCACCATGCCAACCCACCGGGAGTAGAGCATGCATGCTTTGCTGCTTTGTCCTTTGTTTGCCTGCTGCGCTGTAGATGGGTTATGAGGGGCAGGCCAGCCCTACAGGGGAGACGAGTACCGGACGTCTATAAATAAATACCGGCGGTGTTACCTTCCTTTGGTTGTGATCGTCGTCCTGTCTGCGACGTTAAATAATTCCTGAGGACTTCGGGGGCCGTCCGTAAACGCCTCTTGATCAGCCAATCCGTCGGTGTAAGGCTTGCTGCACGAGAGGGTAAACATGGTGCAGGGCTGGCCAGCTCAGCACTGACTCGAGGCACAGGGGTGGGCCGTGTGCACACCTTTAGACACGCACGCTATCTGGATTGCTCAGGGATGTTGACGTCAAGTGACAATCAAGAAGAACTGAGGGAGGGGTAGATTTCAGGTGATAAGTTCGGGAACAATTCCACTCTGGCAACATTCATTCAAATGATTCTTTTTTTTTTTTGATTAGTTAGATGTACAACCATTAACATCCGACAAACGACATAGGTAGAATCTTCTGTTTCTGCTTATTTGCTTTCTGTTTGTGGACTAGTCAAGAAAAATAGTTTCGTTTGTAGGAATCTGGACGTACCTATTGGACCCAACTGTGTATACTCTGACATAGCCACCGATTAATAATTTTATTTATTTTAAGTCGGTCTGAGCACTACGTTGTGGTAGGCAACCGAGTGAAACCTAGTGCAGATAGTGTACAATGCAATAGCTTATGAGCGACAGGGAGGTTCCTGACCCGGACGATAGGATCCTGCGATCGGCAAGACGCCGGTTGGTCCACGTAACCTTAGGACCAGAAGGGGACCATTTTCTGTTTCGCCAGCTTAGTGAGAGGCAGCAGCAGCAGCGGAGGGCTAGGGACGCAGAGGCAAGCAGAGCCTTTGCAAGAGAGGCAGCTACTTCAGCAGCCATGGCCGCTGCTGCGCAGCAAAGTTCCCAAGCCAATAGTTCAGGGACGGTCGGGGCGACGGTCGCACAGACCCTGAGCCAGTCCGCTGGCGGTATGGCAAGCCAGCCATTAGTGTTAACTGTCGAGGAGGTCGCCATTCAGCGAGCAAGCGCTCACGAAGCACAACTACAACAGGCTTTAGATGAGATACAAGCGGAGAAGGAGAGAATGATTAGACGTAGAGCGAGGATGCAACGGAGGGAAGAGGACATCAAGGAGTTAGAGGAGATGGACCTGACAAACGTGGATGACGATGTGAGAACCGTTAGGACAGTCCTGTTAGACGTAGTAGAGATGCAAGACTACCAGACGTCGCTCTTGCAGGACATTCAACGGAGCCTGACCGTGTTGGTCGGGCGAGTTCAGGCCACACCATCACCGACAGGGCCAGGTGCCTGGCCCGTGGTACAACCTCCTCCTTTTGTCCCACCGGTAATTGGAGTTGCCCCATTTGTCTCTCAACCCTCGGTACATGTCGTTTCCCACCTAGTCATGCCTTTGACAGGCGGGTTATCAACAGGTCCTAGTGTACAGGTTCCTGTTCAAACAGTGTTCTCCCAACCTCCATTGCAGACTGTCGTAACTGGGCAGCCTGCCGTCTTGCAGTACACAGCCCCAGCAGCAGCTAGTGCAGCAGCCTGCACCCAAAGGTCCACAACTTGGAGTGGTGTAGGCACCGGGACAAGGACAATGGGTTCCCAAGACTGCCATTGCTTCGCTTAAACCCTTCTCAGGAGATAAGAAGGGTGAGGACCTCGACACATGGTTGAGGTCAGTGCTAGTCTATGTGAAGTGCAAGTTGACCTTGCCTCACGAGGAAGTGCTTGTGGCTGCCTCCTATCTAGAGGGGAGTGCAGCAATATGCTTAAGCGGGTACGTGCAACTGTAGGGGTACGGTCATGACTTCTGCGCTTGGGCAGTCAACCAAAAATTGAACGACTTCCTCAAGCTGGTGGAGGAAAGGTGGCATGATCCGCAGGAGGCCCAAAAGGCCACTGATGTGATCCTGACCCTGATCTCGAGGAAGTTCAGGTCAGTAAGGGATGCCACGAACGTTGTTGAGCGTCTGATTTGTGTACCTAGAGTGCGTTATGATCCCCAGGTCTTACTCACCACTTACCTGAGGTGTCTTCCCATAGAACTGTGGAACCAGTTGGCAGGTGAGGCCATGATCACAGTGCACAAGTTTCCCTCGTTCAGCAAGAAGGCCCTAGATCTAGAGGCCAAGATCAGGCATGGGCACCAACCCACAACAGATGGTAGGAAGAAGACGCTGCCTCCCAACTGGAAGGCGAAGGGTCACATAATGTTCGTCGATAACGATGGCTCAACCATAGAGTTAGACGATGACTTTCAGGAGGGAGTAGGGTCAGAGCCGGGCAGCGCGGAAGCTTCAGGGGGTGGAGCAGTCGCTGCCTCTGTGCAAAAAGGTAAGGCGACCGGTAGACGCAGCGGAGGCTCCCGGTCTAGGAGTCAAGTAAACCCCAATGCTCCTTCATGGGAGAAAGCAGGTCTTACTGAGGACGTGTGGGGAGACCGTTACTCTCGGAAGACTTGTATCCGTTGTGGCCAATATGGCGATAACCAATTCAAGTGCCAGAATAAGAAGGTGACGAAAAAGATCCCGCCTACGATGGGGCAGGCGTCTGTCTCCTCCTCTTTTCCCTAGTAGCAATGTCACCAACAGTTCTGACACTGCTCCAGGAAACACGTCCGGCCAGTAGGAATTGTAGTTGTTCCTGCTAGGGTCGAGGTGGTGGACACACCCTCACCATCTCGAGAGATGGCCCAAGCTATTGACTTCGTTGTCGTCCCACAAACACATTCGGACCAATCAATCCTGTGTTCGATGAATGTGTTTGAGTCCTTAGAGGAGCTAGAGTAAGAGTGGTCTAGATCGGACCCGTAAGCTTCTTGGACGACCATGGTTTAAGCTCCTAAGGGTGAGTTGTTTGTTGGCGAGGTAGATATAGGCGGTTGCAAGGCCGAGGCCTTTTACGATACTTGCGCGACAAGGAACTTTATCAGTCGCGCGTGCGTTGAGAGGCTACGTTTACCGGAGCAAGTGCAGCGCCTGAGTTGACCTGTGGAGTCTATTTGTGCCAACAAACAACGCATGGTAGTCAATGACTACCTCAAAGACATTGAGTGTCGTTTCCCGTACGCGGGAGGGGAGCTGATACATAAAGTCTCGTTCCTAGTCAGCGATGATCTCCCAGTGGATATTTTGTTGGGTATGTACTATCTTTCGGTTGCATAACCCCAGTTTAACTAGGACTGAAAAGTGGTCAAACACACTTTACCCGGAGGGGGGAACGCCATATTACGTAAGTTCAAAGCTAGTAGTTTGATTGATTCCTACGGATGCATGTCTGCTGCTGTGTTTTACAATTATTATAAGCAAAATCCAGAGGAGGGTATGTAGTATGTACTTAGTTTATGTCTCTGCAGAGGGCGAGCCGGTGAAAATGCCTCCAGAGATAGAGGGAGTGGTCGCTAGATACCCTGATCTATTCGAAGAGCCAAAAGAGGTTGTTGAGAGGGAGGCCGTCCTTGCAATAGAGATTATCCCAGGGTCTAGTATTCTGAAGGGTAGGATCTATCGGATGTCTCCAGCGGAGCTTGACGAGCTTCGCCGACAACTCAAGGATCTCATAGAGAAGGGTTGGATCTGACCGAGTGTTTCCCCTTACGGATCTCCTGTTTTATTCGTGCCAAAGAAGGGGGGGACCTTGAGGATGTGCATTGACTATAGGGGCCTCAATGCCATCACTGTGAAGAACGCATAGCCCCTAATGCGCATCGATGACGTGGACAGAGTGCAAGGGTATCGGTACTTCAGTAAGATAGATCTGAAGTCCGGGTACCATCAGATTGCAATCCGGTCCGACGATCAACACAAAACCGCTTTTCAGACCAGGTACGGTCTGTACGAGTTTGTGGTGATGCGTTCTGGCCTTTGCAATGCTCCTGGCACCTTTTATCACGCCATGAACCGGATCTTTGATGACTACTTCGACAAGTTTGTCATTGTGTACCTCGATGACATACTTATCTTTAGTAGGACTGCCGAGGAGCATGTTGGCCATCTAGACAAAGTCCTTAGTCTCCTTCGGCAGCACCAGTTCAATATTAACCGGGAAAAGTGCGAGTTTGGCCGCACCCGGATCTTGTGTTTGGGTCATGAGACTTTCGCAGAGGGATTGAAGCCCGATGACGCGAAGGTGGCCAACATTCGTGACTGGCTGCGTCCTCAGTCTGTGACTGAGATGAGGTCCTTCTTAGGGATGACCGGCTACTACCGTAACTTTGTAAAAAACTATAGCATAGTGGCAGCCCGTTTGATGGACCTGACACGCCTTGACACCCCTTGGGAGTGGACAGACAGGTGTGAGGTTGCTTTCAGACATCTGAAGCACTCCTTAACACACCATGAGGTCCTGAAACTTCCTGATCCTGACAGGCCATTTATAGCAACCATGGATGCCAGCCAATATGGCATTGGTGTCGTGCTTGCACAGGAGGGGCCAAAGTTGAGGCCGGTCGAGTACATGTCCAAAAAGATGCCCTCTCAGAAGTTGGCTAAGTCCACCTATGAGAAGGAGCTCTATGCGATCTATAAGGCGCTAACCCACTGGAGGCACTACCTCCTTGGGAGGTTCTTCTACGTCAGGACTGATCATCGGACCCTGAGGTGGATGAGAACCCAGCCGGTGCTCTCTGATGCGCTGAAACGCTGGATTGAAGTCATTGAGCAGTATGACTTCGAACCCTAGTACATCAAAGGAGAGTATGACAAAGTTGCTGATGCGCTGTCGCGTAGGCCGGACTTTCGAGGTGCGCTGATCACAGAGTTCGGGCTTGCGGACGATGTTACTCGATCCCTGGTGGAAGCCTATCGTGAGGATCCGTTTATGTCAGAGATCATACGCAGGCTCGAAGCGAAGGACAAAGTTACTTCTGACGAGTTTGTACTGGTCAATGGCCTGCTGTTCCTTGAGAAGGCCCGGAATAAATGTTGTGTGTGCCTAATCGGGAGTTTTTGCGTAGTTTATTTTTAGGAGAGTGTCATGACGCCACCGGACATTTTGGTTATAAGAAGACTGCAGCCAACCTGCTGCAGCAGTTCTGGTGGCCCACAATGATGAGAGCGGCCAGGCTGTACGTGGAGACTTGTCAGGTATGTCAGAGGGACAAGCCACATACACAAGGCCTCTCTTGGGCTTCTCAAGCCCCTTGCGGTACCGGAAAGGCCCGGTGAGAGCCTGTCCATGGACTTCATGGACACACTGGTCACCAGCAAGAGCGGTATGCGATAAGTCTATGTCATTGTGGATAGGTTTAGTAAGTATGCTAGGTTAATCGCAATGCCCGAAACAGCCAAAACCGAGTACGTGATTAAGCTGTTTAAAGAAAACTGGGTCAGAGATTTTGGACTGCCAAAGTCTATAGTTAGTGACCGGGATGTGTGATTTACCAGTGAATTGTGGAAAGCCGCAGCTGCAGAGCAGGGGGGACAGCTGCAGAGGACTTCTGGGAACCACTCAGAGGCAAACGGGCAAGCAGAGCAGCTGAACCGCGCTGCACAACACCTGCTGAGGCACTATATCAAGCCTAACCACATGGACTGGGATGAGAAACTTGCTCTCATCGCCAGCCTCTACAACAACACTGTGCACAGCGCAACAGGGGTAAGCCCTAACAGTCTGCTACTGACCTTCAAGCCTAGACTGCGCCTAGACTTTCTACTACCTGAGAACCAGCCGACTGCTGCACCTGGCACCTTAGAATTCGCCTATCGATATGAACGTCTGATGCAGCAAGCTGTAGAGCACAGGCAGCAATGAAAGAGTCTGAGAACAAGCATCGCCGTTCATCTACATTCCAGGTAGGGGATAGAGTCTGGGTCAAAGCCTCTGAACTGGGGCAGGCATGGGATCTCCCGCAAGCTCATGCCACAGTACTTCGGGCCATGGGAGCATGGGATCCGGACGGGCCATCATATGTAGTTCGGGTCCCTGGTCACCTCCGCACCTGCCCTGTTTTTCACGTCTCTAAGCTCGCACCTTCCAAGGAAACTGATCAGTTTCCCTCTCGTCGGTCAATGCTGCCCCCAACCATGAACGGAGAGGTCGACATCGATGACATCGTGGACCACAGAGAAATGCCAGTTCCAAGACCAACAGGCAGGGGACGCCCTCCTAAGGCGAAGCTGCAATATTGCGTTCGGTTCAGACATCACGCTGATCCTAAAGAGGACAGATGGTTTACTCGGGAGGAATTGATGCTGACCGCTCCACAGGGTGTCGCTCACTATGAGAAGTCACTGCAGAAGCGCCAGATTGAGTAATTGAACTTCTCAGAGGACTGTCGAAGTATGGAGGAGGGAATGCGAGGCTCAAGGCCTCAATGAGCCCTACTGGGCCCTGTTTTCAGCAATATCGGCCGCCCTAAGTGAAGTCAGGCCTGACCAAGGACGAGAGGCCTATTTCGGGCTTTCCACGCAACTGGGAAACTCAGGCAGTTGCGCAGCGCCAGTTGGTTGAGAGAACCCAGGCCCTGCCTGCCTTTCTCAAATGTATCTGAGGCAGGCCCTGGGCTGGAGACGGGGCATGGACAGCGCACAGGGCGCTGGCAATTGGACACGGGTAACCACCCCAGGCCCTGTGTCTGATTCCCTTGGACCGGGGCTCAGCCACTTGGGGCCTACCGGAAGCTTCTGGGCAGGGGCCCAGCACAGCCAGGCAGCACGCAGCAGGCAGGCCATTTCCATATAGGAAAGTGCCTGCCCCCACATTGGCATTCGGGCGCTACTGGCAGGCAAGCGCCCACATGCTCACGGGTGAGCAGGATACACGCAAGCAGCCATAGCCGAGCTGGCATGCGAGGTCCTGGAACGGGCGCATGGTGGTCCTTGGGTGCACATGGCATCTGTGTGGGGGATCGAGGTTGTGAGTGATGCGTGAGACATACCTGGTGCTTGAGGCGAATGGCATTGGCCGAGATCTGCTCGTACTTCGGGGAGCTGTTGACGTCACCAGCGGCATTGTAGATAAGCTAGATAGGATCTGCCATTTGTAGTCTGGGCGCTGAGCACCAGATAGGAAGTCGACATTGGTTCATTGTTGATGATGATGAGACTATTCCAACATTGTCACTTGTGAGCTTTCGTTGTGCTCTTATGGTGGAACTCGTGTTGCAATTCTGCTTTTGGTTCGAGGTCACAACTATCTGGTTTCATGTGTATGATGCTGCTTGGTTTCTGGAATTCGCTATTGGTCATTTTCCTTGCACTATTAAGACATAGTACATATGGAGTAAGGAATAGTACATATGCTATTAACCATTGCAGACATAGTACATACTATATAATATATATTATGCTATTAATTTATTAAACCAGCAGTACACGGCCATACATCGGCCATGGGCCCGTCGCCACGAGTTTCGGAGGCCGGAAACACAACCCCGGCGACTAATGAATTTTATCAACGGCGAGGAGGCGGCGAAGAAGTAAAAGGTGGCGAGGAGGTGGAGGAGAAGTAAAAGAGGGCGAGGAGGCGGAGGAGAAGTAAAAGAGGGCGAGGAGGAGGAGAAGTGAAAGAGGGCGAGGAGGAGAAGTAAAGGAGGGGGAGGAGGGGGAGGGGAAGTAAACGAGGGCGAGGAGAAGTAAAAGAGGGCGAGGAGGAGGAGGACGAAATGAAGAAGAAGTAGAAGACGGCCTTGGGGGGGGTGAAGGTGACGGTGCAGGAGGGAGTTAGATGGGCGAGGGGCGGGGGATTCAAAGTGCGACCAAGAAGAAGAAGAAGAAGGAGAAGAAGAAGTAGGAGAAGAAGAACAAGGAGAAGAAGAAGAAGAAGAAGAAGATGGCCGGGAGGGGAAAGCTGACGGGGGAGGAGGAAGGTTGACGGGCGAGGGGGGGGAGTTCGAAGAATCTCTCTCTCTCTCTCTCTCTCTCTCTCTCTCTCTCTCTCTCTCTCTCTCTCTCTC